CCCCCCCCATAAACTTTAATAAGGCTCCATTTAGGGCATCTTATCCACTGCGGCGGCGTTTTGAAAACCCCGTCTCACTGTTTTTGAGACGGCTTGAAAACTACGTTTGAGCAGCTTATTTGAAAACGAAGATGATTTTTTAAACTAAATGTGAAACACAGTTCGCACCCCGCGGTCCACATTTCCAGATAAACGACTTATCTGGATAAACAAAAAGGGCCCCAAACACGCCCTAAGAGACGGCTTAAAAACTACGTTTGAGCAGCTTATTTAAAAACGAAGATGATTTTTTAAACTAAATGCGAAACGCAGTTCGCACCCCGCGGTCCACATTTCCAGATAAACGCCTTATCTGAATAACAAAAAAGGGCCCCAAACAGCCACTAAAAAACAAAGTTCCAACTACTAAATATTAAATATAATATCTTAATCACCCACTTACGAAATTTCCGATTGAATTTTTTGGATAGGTAAAATGTTATATTTAATATTTTGAATGATTGGTATATAGAAACCATAAAATAAATGTGAGAAACGTAAATACATAAAAATTGTGTTATGTATCTAAATTTCCTAATAATAAATCAAATCATGCCATTCAATAGAAAGACCAAATGTGATGAAAACAGCTAAAAAAACCAAAGGTATTAAACAAAACTTTGTTTTATACTAAAATAATAACTAACATTTAGCAAAAGAACATAGAAGAAACAAAGAACAACTCTCAAGTAGCAAAACTAACAAGAAACATGAGCACAATAAAAACTAATCCATTAAACTTGCAAATAAAATAAAAGAAACCCACCAAAAAAGACATTTACAGCCACCCATAAGGTGTTTTCCTCTCCTAAATCTTCCAAACAGGTAGAAACCAAAACACCATTCTTCCTTCCCTAAAGCTAGAATCAAAACAAAAGAATAAAAAGCTATCTTCCCACATTCACTACCAACGCAGAGAGACATGGAAGGAAGCTTCACCTGCCATCTCCTGGTTTCCTATTTCTGACCTTTCTCGTTCGAGGCGGAGTTCCGAGCTATCTTCCCACATTCACCACCAACACAGAGACATGGAAGGAAGCTTCACCTGCTATCTCCTGGTTTTCTATTTCTGACCTTTCTCGTTCGAGGCGGAGTTCCGGGTGCGAGCATACGAGATGTACTCTGGCTGGTTTCTGGAACGTGTTTCTGAGATGCGAGGTATGTGAGAGCGGTAACGACGTCGGCAATGGCAGGCCTCATCGTAGGCTGCTCTTGCACACACATGGCAGCGACGGCAAGAGCTTGGTACAAGCTGCGCACGGGGTATTGACCCTGAAGAGTTGGATCAGCCATCTGGGGAAATTTCCTCCGATCTTTGAATAAGGGTCGAGCCTGCGAGTAAGGTCAGAGGATTATAAGGATATATCCTATAAGCCCATTATCATAATAATATTAGTCTTAACTCTCAATTATGTGAGATATGTTTATGAATTCAATTTATTCATTAATTTCTCAGTTGTCATCTATTTTATGCAAAATTATTCAGCAATGTGTTGTTTTAAGTTAAACCTCTTGTATGACAACTGAGCCACTAACTGCTATTTTTCTTACTCAGAAGTTTAGAAAAAGAGATAATTACATCTAGACCGCCCGAAACATTGATGTTTACAAATTAACCATCTAGGTGATTTTTTTGAACTACCGAACCGATGTATTTACGCATGCCACGATCAGACTATTGAGAATTTGGTAAAAATGAAAAATATGAGTTGGGGATTTACCATGCATTTTTGATATTTGAGTGAGAATTTCAAAATTGGATGAAAAAGAGTGGTTGTTTTGTAAATAGTAAGTTTCGGGTGATCTGAATGTAATTGCCTCAGATAATGAATCAATTTTGTTAAATACACACAATTCGATTGGAATGTAATTAGACATCAAAATTGATTTCAATTTCACATTCAAAACTAATTAAAATAAATTCTCAATTTCTAAAGAGCCCTAATCCCATAAAGGCTAAAGAGCTAAATGATACAAAATAAGAAAGGGAAACTTTAATACATAAGCATGATATAAGAAATTTAAATAACCTCCACTAAGGGTCAAGGATCTGAGGTCAGCTTAAACCAGCTAAATTGGAACACACATTTTAAGCAGGAGGTTGGAGGTTTGGCCTTTTGCCTCATGAGAATGTCAAACCTCATGGCATTGACCAAGCCAACTAAGGTCAGTGTAAGGCTTGACCTTCTCCCTCAAGAGAATGGTCAAACCTCAAGGCATTGAACAAGTCAACAAAACTCTTAGATCCAATGGTTGGTGGTCAACTTTGCAGTACAATGCCCACTTGATATTTTTACAAAACAAATAAAGGATCTATCATTCCAGCTGTTCCATGAAATATATGAGAGGGGTTATATACCACCCAAATCTTTCATTTCACATTAAAGATAATATTATTTTAACTTTAAAAAATATGAACTATACGTTTCATGCATAGGTACGGCGGTATATATGTAAAAATTAAAGTTTAGATGTTCGATATATAAATACATAAGAATTAAATGGTATTCATGTCAATATTCCTTTTTTTTTCACAACATTAATTTCAACCAATGTGCTGCGCATTTGAGCATTTCATTGAAATCCTTTAGAAAGGAGATTTCCATAAGTTGACATGAGGTCTACTATTATTTGTTATATGATCATATAAAAGCACATTACATACTAAAGTAAACAAGTCAAAATAATAAATATATTAGAAAAGTTTACCATGTCCAAAGGAGATAAACTTACCCATGAAACTAGGGTTTGTTCTCTAGCAGCCCTCGATGTGTCAATTGCCCTCCTCCCAGTTATAATTTCCAAAAGAACAACACCGAAGCTGTAGACATCCGACTTCAATGTTAGTTGTCCGGTCATTGCGTATTCCGGAGCACAATATCCGTAGGTTCCCATTATCCGAGTCGAAACATGGGTATTGTCACCGACTGGACCAAGTTTCGCTAATCCAAAGTCTGATAACTTAGGATGATAACCCTCTCCAAGCAATATATTTGAGCATTTTAAATCGCGATATATGACCGGAGGACTAGCTTTGTCATGCAAATACTCTAAACCTTTTGCCGCACCAGCTGCTATTTTCATCCTCGTGTTCCAATCAAGCGGCTTCATATCAGCCGTAGGATCTATAATTGTTGGAATGATTAGATGTTTTAATAAAAATTTTATGTGACAAATAGAATAGTTTACAAGGGACTTAATAACATTTCTTACCATGAATATGATCTTCTAAAGATCCTAAAGGCATGAACTCGTAGACCAAAAGCCGTTGATCACCATCAGCACAATATCCAAGTAGTTTAACTAAGTTAGGATGATGTAGCAGACTTAACATCAAAACTTCAACTAGGAATTCCCTATTTCCTTGTAATCCATCATGATCTAGCTGCTTTATGGCCACAGTCTGTAGTAAAACACAATAATAATTAGTGATAGAAATTTAAAATCAGTACATATTATGGAAGAAACATATGTTTTGATTGAAAACTTATGAGTTTTGGTTTTATTTGATCGCCGTGATCATTATTGGCCTTATTGGAAATATTTGATGCCGGCTTTATGAACCTTCATATTCTATTTGTTTCGATCTGTGTGGTGCCCAGTGTGTTTGTTTTATTTGATACCTGACTCATGTAAGATTTACATACATAGCACTCAATTCTTATGTATTAACATATCTAACACCGTTAATTTTTACATACATACCACTTTATCTATGCATTAAAAGGTGTATTCCACTTCTTAAACATCAAAAAGGTGGTATTTTTGATGAACGATTTAAGTTTATGTTTTAGATATGTAGATGCATAGGAATTGGGCGGTATGTATGTAAATGCCCCTTGATTTAATTGATCAAGATTATGAAAGTAACTAATGAAAATCATAGCATTATAATTAAGAGACTAAAGTATCAAAATGTGGAATTTAAAAAAAAAATCACCTGGTTGATACTCTCTAAGCGTCCTTTATACACCCGACCAAAACCACCCTCTCCGAGAAGACAATCAGCTCTAAAATTCAGTGTGGCTGAAGCTAATTCACGAAAAGTAAACGTCTGCGCGGCAATATGTTCAGAACCGCT